CAAGATAGAAGTGCCAGACTCCAAGAACTCGATAGGTGTGCTTGATATCTTTGGTTTTGAAGATTTCGAAAAGAACTCTTTTGAACAACTTTGCATTAATTTCGCCAATGAAAAGTTACAGCAGTTCTTTAACAATCATATATTCAAACTTGAGCAAGAGGAGTACAGAAACGAGGGAATCAGTTTCGAAGAGATCAAATATCAGGATAATCAGCCTTGCCTTGAAATGATATCAAAAAAGCCTTCTGGCATAATTCAGTTGTTAGATGACGAAAGTAACTTCCCTAAAGCATCTGACAAGACATTTGTGGAAAAGGTCGCCAAAGCTCATGAGAAAAACACATTCTTTGATAAGCAAAAGACATCAGAGTCGACTTTCTCAGTCATACACTACGCTGGCAAAGTTACTTATGATAGTAGTGGATTTTTGGACAAGAATCGAGACTTACTGCGTGCTGATCTTGAAAAGTTATGCACAGACAGCAAGTTTTCATTCTTATCCGAAGTGAAAGTTGTTGCTCAATTAGACGACCAGTTAAAGAGAAGCTCTTCGAATAGGGCTTCAATAGTTGGTCATGGTACCACTACAATCTCTGCAAAAATCAAAACCGTTGGCGGAAAATTTGATGAATCATTACAGATGCTTATCAGCGTCCTGAATAATTGTGACCCTCACTTTGTCCGTTGTGTCAAGCCGAATACGGTTAAAAAGCCTGATGTTTTTGAAGAGGAAATGGTCTTGCTGCAATTACGCTACTCTGGATTAATGGAAACTGTAAGGATTAGACAATCGGGCTATCCAGTGAGAAAGAGATACAGAGACTTCCTATCAAGATATCGTCCGCTCATGAAGAATTCAAATATCGATGATGATACCAAAGCTTGCGAAGTATTTCTGAAATCTGAGCCACAAATAGCGAAAATGTATCAGATCGGAAAGACAAGAGTGTTCTATAAAGAATTTGCCGATTCTCATCTCGAAAAGAAGCGTTCTGAGAAACTTAAGACCATAGCCGTGGTTATTCAGAGATACGTAAGAGGTTACTTGGCCAAAAAGGCTTACCAGAAGAAAAAGAAGGCTGCATCGAAAATCCAGGCTACATGGAAAATGCATGCGGCAATTAAAGCTAAACGATTGCGAATCAAAGCTGTCAAGAAAATCCAAGTCTTCTGGCGCGGCCAAGTAGCAAGAAACCAATTGGGAAGATTGAAACATGCTGTGAGTGTTGTCCAAACTGTTTTGAGGTTCAGATTGTCTCGCGGCTTTGTGGCGTATATGGCACATCAAGCTGAGTTGAGAAAGAATGCAGAAAAAATGAAACAGTTGAATATCGAAGCATCTAATGCAGCCATGAACGCAATTAATGAACATAATGAAAATATTGTGAAGTTTATTGAAAAATCGCTAGGAACGATAGCTTCGAAGAAGTTGGATGAAGAATTTTCAGACAGTTTCTACAAGAGTCCAGTTTCAATATCAGAACCAGTTTCTGTTAAAATCGATCCTGCTTTTGAGAATGATGTTGAAATGGCATCTTTTGAATTTTCAAAGTATGTTGCTGCTTATTTTGTGTCCAAGGATGACAAATTTTCTGGTGTGCCTCTAAAAAAGCCAGTGCTTTCAATTGTGAACGACAAGTTTGCGGAAACCTGTGCTGCTATTCACCAGAGTTTGTTATCGCTTCTAGACAACACGACCTTTCAATCGAATTTTGGTCAATTGGATAGATTAAAGTTTATCATTCAGTCATGTCTATCTGAAACATCTCTTTGCGATGAAGTGTACAGTCAGCTGTGCAAGCAAATGAACGAAAATCCGAAAACTGAATGTATTGTTCTAGGTTGGAGACTGATGTCACTTTTATTTCAATACTTTCCTCCATCGAACACCATGCTGAAGTTTCTGTTCAAGTATATCGCTGATAATGCTCCTCAACCAATTATCCCAACCTTAAAGAGAAGACTTATAAGATCATCGTTTGTCGGAAAAAGAGTCACTGCTCCTAGTTATGAAGAATTATGCAAGGCTGGCTCTCTAGAAATTAATGTAGGTGTATCTTTGCCAGACGGAAAGAAAATAACCGTTGACGTGGATCCTATGTTATCATGCCATGAGTTAATGGTTGAATGCATGAAGCAGTTACAAGTGACTAGCTTCCCAGGTTGGGCTCTATTCTACGACTCAAAGCAAAAGCGATACCGAGTTGATGACTTTGCACATATCCTTGATTTGGATTCAGTGGAAACAAAGAAGTCATTAGCAGAAAATCTAAATCATCTTCCGATTAATTTTGCTATGGTCAAAGAAGTTTTGGAACCGGAAGAGGTCATTAGGGATGAAGTTTTGGTAGAGATGATATTATCACAAGTCAAAAGAAGTCTCAAAGGCGTCAAATCTGAGATAGAAATGGATTCTGCTGCAAAGTTGATTGCCATGATTAGACAGGTAGAAAAGTTGACAGAACCTCCTGCACAAAGTGCAAAGACCTTTCTGTCTGAATCGTGCAGTTCTTATACTCAGAACGAGAATTTTCTTTCTTTGGTTGATAAATACCAAAAAGGTTATTCTCAAGAAACTAGAAGCGTTTTAAGAAAAACTATTATTTATACAGCAGCCGAGATACCTGGCATAATTGGAAGAAAGTTCTCTATCAAGTGTGATAGTCCAGTAATATTCAGCAAAAATCCAGCCCTTATACAAAACAAGATCCAACTTTGCATAGACAAGACTGGAATTAACTTTCTGCTAGAAGAAGATGCGAGTGTGTTTTATGTTCTATCTTATGCCGGCATTAACGTTTCTGAAGAGGGGAAGTTTATAGTTCTTAAATCAGAGTCGGATACAATCAAATTAGAGCCTTTAGATTGTAAAATGGATGTGATTAAAGAAATGATTAGAAAGTTTGAAATTGGTTTAGTTAGAACAAGTAAATGGGCTGTTGCATTGGGTGATCATGGAAATCAAGGAGATCCTGCGCTCCTGATAATGAAAGAAGGCGATGTGATTGAAATCATAGAAAAGAAAGCAGACTGGTGGAAAGGCAGGAATCACAGCTTTACTATCGTTGTCGAAGGATTTTTTCCAAGAGGTTTAGTGAACTTGATTGTTTCAAAACCTCAAACGATTCAGAAGAGAACACTGGTCACGGAATCAGAAATTGATGCAGATGGCACCGCTAAGTTACCTACGCTTTCTGCAATGTCTATTACAACAAGCACTTCTTTAATTACTCATTCTACCGGCTCTGGCTCAGAAGAGGGTCATCAAAGGCAACCATCAGGCCCAGGAAGTGGATCATCATCGTTGGTTCCAGTTCTTGAATGGGCATTACGAAACTTCCGTAATGATAGTAAAAAGAAGAAACTCATGCCAGATGGAGTAAAAGGCACCATAAGAAGATTGACTGGTGGTGATTTTAATCTTAAGGAACCCGAACTTGATGTTAATCGCGTGAAGGACAAGTTACAGTTTACAATGTTACCAATCCGCCATAGCCTCACAAAACAGTTAACCGGAGATGATGAGAAGCTTGCAGTTGAATGCTTCCAAATTGTCATGAAGTTTATGGGTGATTATCCAGTTAAGGAACAAACTTCTGTAGATCTAGCAAAGCTGTTGTTGGAAAAATGCTTGTCAAAGAAAGAAGAGTTCAGAACAGAAGTTTATGTCTACTTTTTGAGACAGCTTACCAACAACCCCAATGCGGCTAGCGAAGCGAAAGGATGGTGGTTTTTACAACTAGTATCAGGATACTTTGCCCCTTCATCTGCGTTTACTGCTGTGTTCTTGAAATGGTTGCAACTTCGAAATGTTTCTCAGGGTTTCCAATACAGAAATGAGGCCGAGAACATTGAAAAGAACGTTTATGCAACGTTGAGATTTGGTCCCAGAAAATGTTCGCCAACTCAAGAGGAGATCACTTATCAGGAGCTCGGTCGTCCTCTGACTATCCAAGTGAATTTCATGGATAGGAGCTCGAAGCGTATTCAAATAGCTCCTTGTTCTGTAGTTGCAGAGATTCCTCAACAAGTCTGTCAAAAGCTTGATATTATCGACAGTTCTCAGTTTGTTTTGTATGCTTACCATAATGACAGTTTTGCCATGCTATTCCCAGAAGAGTATGTACTTGACGCTATAAACCCAAATGATCCACCACACAGTAAAGTGAAGAGTTCACCAAAGAAATTGTACTTGAAAAAGATTGTATGGAGAAGCAACGAAGTGCCACGAAACTTGCAAATGACCAATATGATGTTTTCGCAGTTGGTTGATTTCTATTTGACTGGTTTTACAACGCCTTCAAGTGCTGAGGCATGCACGTTAGCTTGCATACTTTGCAGAGCTGCAGGGGTGGACTTGCTAAACAAGGACGAAGCTAAAAAGGAAGAAATTTGCAGGAGTTACATTCCAGCTTTGACATTTTCAGTCAAGAGCTCTACTGCTTGGATTAAAGAATTAGAGGGTTTGATGGGCACATATATGGCTCTTGATGTTAACGCAGCGAAAAAGAAGTTTATTACCGCTGCTCAGTCATGGAAGTTGTACGGCGCTTCAACTTTCAGCGCATCTGAGCTGAAGTGCGACAAGTTTGCTCTTCCGGAAAATGGAGTCCTTATCTTTTCGCCATCTGCTCTGATTGTTTTTGACCCTGCAAAGAAAGCTTCTTGCAAAGAATGGCCTTACAATGCTATCAGTGGATATTCTTATTCCAGCGACAGAGTGAACTTGAAACTTGGTGGTCTCATGGAAAAAGATCAAACCATTCTTACCGCAGTGACTCCTCTTGGAAGAGAAATCTGTTTTACGCTCGAGATTTTCGGACATTTAGCCATGGAGGCTCAAGGAGGGAATCGTTTCCAAAACCCAGCCCTTGGATGAAATAAAAACAGTTCATTAAAGCAAAGTATAAATTTACTGGAGCGAATTATGCTTCAACAAAAAGAGCGGCTCTTGCGACATAGAGAAGAGCATCAAAAATTTTGTTGAAACATCCAAAAAATCCGACCTCCCGGGATCGAACCAGGGACCCCTGGATTACAACAATCACAATTACAGTCCAATGCTCTTCCAACTGAGCTAAGGTCGGTCACAAATTTTGAAAATTCTTCGGGTGATTTTAATANCTGAGTATGCGACCTTACGCATCTCATTTGTAACATTGTCGGCAACAAATTCTTCTTTTATTGGTGCCAGCCATGCTACCACATTCTCCGAGTCCCTCCCTGAGAACTCAGGAGCCTTCAAACGGTACATTCCTTCTTTAGGTACTGGTACCTCGCGTCTGCTAAACGCCTCTGCCATTGCCTCCATCTGAATTTGCTGATTATTGACCAATTGCGCCAACTGTTGGAACAATTGATGATTTTGAACTTCAATAGGAGAAACCGGTCTGCTATTCTGATTAGCTTGATTTGGTGAACTCATTGTGATCTTGATTTGCCTCGACTACCAACTGAAAATTCTTCGGGTGATTTTAATAGAACTATATTGACTAGACGTGTAGATCTAACCGGCTCTCCCAGAAATAGTGCGAAGATCGGCCGCCTTATATATTCCTCCGGCGGTATCACTATGTGACATCTATAAGATTGTATCTCCGCTCTATCCAATGATCTATTCTCCATGTGACTATCCACGTTCCAGAATCTGTACACGTGGTTTACCCCTGATTTACCGATAGATCTTCTTATCTTGAAGATAACTCTTTCATAGATTTTGTTTTCGTGGAGAATTTAAAGATTTTTAGAGAGGTAGCGTTCCGTCTGCAAAGTTTCTGCTCGCGATATGAGTATTACTTGAGCCTGGTTAGTTCTCGCACGTCGCTTTCTATGAATNTAATAGAACTATATTGACTAGACGTGTAGATCTAACCGGCTCTCCCAGAAATAGTGCGAAGATCGGCCGCCTTTTATATTCCTCCGGCGGTATCACGATGTGACATCTATAAGATTGAATCTCCGTTCTATCCAATGATCTATTATCCAAGTGGCCACTCTTTTCTGGACGGATTAAAGTACGCGCACCTGAATGCTTGATACTGTTTGACTGTTCGAAAGAGCAGAATTTTGCAAAATGACCTTCCCTTCCACACTTATAGCACTTCTTGCCCTTCCGTTGATGTTTAACTATTAAATCCAATTCCATTGGAACTGAACTACCTTATTGTCTGCCATATTTGCAATTGGAGTAAACGGTGCTCGTTTTTGACAGAGAGGACCTTGATTCTTTAGTTTTCGCCAATGATTTTGCTCCTGTTCCTTCCGATCCGAATTGGGCGGTTTCGAATTTGGTAGCCAATTGAACCGCCTCGTGTACTGAAGTGGGAGCCTTGTAATGCAGTTCTTGTCTGGTCCTAGGACGAAGCCCCTCAACAAAGAAGTATATCTTGTCCATTTCCGTCATCTCTTCAATTTGCCTAATCCGTTCGCGGTACTGCGTGACATAAGTCAAAATTGACCTGCCTTGCTTCAAATTCTACAACTTTCTGCGTAACAAGTGCTGCAAGTTATCAGGCGTGAACTCTGCAATTAATAGAGCTTTGAATGACTCCCAGCTCTCAAATGTTTCTGTTGTTCCCCACCATTCCAGAGCGGGGCCACGCAAGGAACTGACGGCATAAGCGATTCTGCGCTTGTCATCTTGAACTCTTTCAGTGACAAACCCTTCTTCCAATTGTTTCAGCCAAGTTCTCGGATTCTCGGAAGGCATACCAGAAAAATTTGCCGTTTGCAGTCTGGACTGTCCTTCCTTCTTATCTTCTTCGCCGTGACCCCTGGCCTCGCCTTGCAATCCAACCAAGCTAGTTAAAATCTCTTGGTTCTGCTGCATCGCTAATAACTGATGAAACATGTTAGTCATCATAAAGTCGCGTGTAACAACTTTATTGCTCTCTATAAAATAAACAAACCAGATTATAACAACACCTCATAGACTAACCCGTGCTGATATTGCTACAATTGTAAAGAGACGCACTGCCGGTGTTGGATATCCAGAGATCGCTGAGGGATTGAGTGCTCATGAAGACCAGAAGCGCAAGGCCTATAATTCCTATATGGTTCATTTGCAGCTTCCGCCAAAAGTAGTAAGGAGACACAGAGTTATTCAGGGCCACATGGCTTTGGCTATTCTTGATATTGTCAAACATAATCCATTCATTTAGTTCCAACAGATAGCTAATGAGTTGAAACAACATGATCCACCGTTTGAAACAATTCCACACAGAACAAGCATTCAGCGTTATTTGGCTAGAGAAGGTTGGCATCCTAAAGAGGCACCTAAGTTGGTTCCTATATCAGCAAATAACAGAAAGAAACGCTTGGTTTTCTCTGAGAAACATGAAGATGATGATTTGCAGTTTTGGGACCATGTGGTCTGGAGCGATGAGGTAACAGTTGAAGCGTGTCCTCGCAACAGAAAATTAAAGGTGCTGGTACACTGTACTCAAAAGTATTGGGAAATCCCGATTAATCCTCAAGTCCAGCAAGGCGGTTTTAAAGTCACTTTTTGGGGAGCATTCTCGAAATATGGTATTGGGCCATTAGTACCAATTGAAGGAACTTTAGACAAGGAGAAGTATATTGATTTGTTAGACAACTACTTGGTCTCTGAGATGAAACACTTAAAACAGGAGCTCGGGCAAGGGTTTGTCTTTATGCAGGATAATGCTCGTTCTCCCACCGCGAAGAAAACTTTGGCTTTTCTCAGGAAGGAGAAAGACAAAGTCCTTGAGTGGCCACCACGGAGTCCAGACCTTAACCCTATTGAGAACTTATGGCGTATAATGAAGAAAAGATTGTATAAAGATCATACTAAGTTTACCTCGAAACAAGTGTTGATTGATTCAGTTCTTCATGAATGGAGTAAAATCCAACCAATTGTATGTGAACACTTAGTTGACAGTGTACCTAAGCGTTTAAAGGAAGTTATGAAGATTCATGGTTATCCAAAAAAATTTAATCGATTTTAAAAATGTTCGAAAACATCCTGCACGGAAGTTTAGACGCAATTGTCGAATGTATGGCATTAGGACATGACTAATATTACATATAGTTAGGTATACAATAAAAGTCAACTGTTGAACCACTTATTTCAATAACAACAACACTCAGCCAACTATAGGATACACTACTCTTTATAATAGATAAACATGGGCGAACCGATGACGACTCGATTGTTTCAACTATACTTGATTCTAAAAACATTGAAAATTCATTGTCAGAACGTAGCCAGTGCGTCTACTAGTTAATGAGCTTTCAGCAATGTACCTGCATAAAATGTAGAGCCATTTTATGCAGTATTATTAAAACAATTGTAAACATACAGGGTATTGCAAAGTTGACCTTTTTTCTCTTGTATTCTCAAACTCTGGCTGAATGTAAAAATTCTACGCCGTCCGCGTACACCTGATAGCTATTAAATGATGTCTATCTTATTCCAAAGCCCTTTACACAGGTATGTTGCTCTAAAGCAGGTATGCATGTTACCTGAACAATGCCGCCCGCTTTATCAGTAAACAAAGCAGCTCTAACTATTTAGTCATTCGTGGTATCTTTATTGTTGATGTGAAGTTTTCGAATTGGTGAGAAAGGATCATGGTGTTGAGGCTCAGAAGATTTGACGGTATCTCTTTAGCACCAAGATCATCAATAAAATGAATTGCTTTTCACTTTTGTATGCTTCTCATTATTGTAACGCGTCTTGGTATATAACTTTGCTTTATTGAGCATCAGCCACTAATTCCATACTCAGAATTAGCATCACCGGACAAGTGGTCTTAAATGTGGATACTAGAAGTGTATTCAAGAGTGTAGTGAAACAATTGGCTGATTCATCGATCAAATATCCAATCAGCCGCGAAAACAAGCTCGAAATTTTCTTTCTTTCTAATGTTATCTGCAATGTCGTCTTCAGTTACCCAGGTATTCCCAAGGAAGCGAAGCAGAGAAGAAGCTGAAGCTGCTCCTGAGTTCCCAGCATTGCCGGGGCTTTCCTTGGAAAGAATCGGTGCTTTTGCTGCAAAGTCACAGGCAGCTTTAGAATATATTAAAAAGCTTCCTACTAATACATCGGTGATTTGCTTACCTCTACTCTCCCCGCACAAGCCTCCGTATCGTTTCAAGTTTACTGAAGATGAATCTGTTCATATGATTATGAGACAAGCTTATGCTACATTGAGTCAGGAGGTTCTTGATCTCAATTACAGAAAATACTCGGGCATTTACGTTCGTGGTCCTGTTGGTGTCGGGAAGAGTCATTTGTTGTATTTGTTGGCAGCTGAATTGCGCATGAACAGAGGATTGTACAGAGTTACATACATCAGTGATTGCAAAGATTGGCGTAACAATCCGTATGGTTACATTCTTAAAGAGTTTGTGACGACGTTCTTTGAT